AACAAACCCACATGCATTACCCGATGCTTCATGATTCATTTACTCGTACCTAATTTTTTCCAGATTGTGACAAATATTACTTAAATTTCAAAATTTTTGATTGAAAAAAAAAATGCAAATAAATTTGTATAACTTTTGGTATTTGGTAATCTTTTTAAAGAAATAATGAAAAAAAATTATGTGTACATAAATTATTATTGTACAATGAACTCACAACTTCATAATGTTATTTCTTAGTAATTTTCAAAAATTGATTAGACTCCATAATGACCAGAATTCAATATGAGTCAAGACGTATAATCTGAGTGAAATATAATATGTCATTAATGCAGGAGGCAAGGGAATTTATCATTGAATAAATATTGTGCCTCACGCAAGAAATATAGTTATTGATTCATCTCTCATATGAATGCTTACATACATAGGTATATGTTTAAGAAACATATGCTTATTGAAAAAAACTATGGTGAATTTTTATTTGAGCATGGTTACTTATTAAATTAAATTTTGTTTTTAAATTCTTTTTTATTTTTTTTTAACTTTGCTTCATTTTATCAGTTTATTTTAATGGCTTTTTATTTTATCTAATTTTATTTATATTTATTTAATTTATTTTATTTTTTTTTGGTTTCTTTTTATTTTATTTTATTTTAGATGATGTTGTTTGTTTTTAATTTATTTTAAATTATTTTATTTATTTTTAAATATTTTATTTTTATTAATTTAGTTTAGTTGCTTTTTTATTTTATATTATTTTATTTCATTTAACTTTGTTTTTACTTTTTTTATTTAATATTGTTTAATTTAATTTTATTTTAAATTATTTCATTTTATATTTATTTAATTTTACGCTATTTTTTATTTAATTTTATTTTATATTCTATTTTATTTTATAATATTTGTTTTTAATTTAATTTTTTTCATTTAATATTATTTTATTTATTTTAATATTTTTTTATTAATTATATATTATTATATTATATTTTATATTTATTTATTTGTTTTTTTTTTTTTATTATATTAAATTTTCTTTATTTCATTTTATTTCAGTTTTTATTTTTATTTAATATATTTTATGTGATTTTATTTGATTTGTTTTAATTTACTTGTTTAATTTGTTTAATATATTTCACTTTTTATTTAATTTTATGTGATTAATATTTTATTTCACTTTATTTTATATTTTATTTGGTTTTGTTTTATTCATTTATTTAATTTGTTTTTAATTTAATTTAAATTTTTTTGTTTTATTTTCGCTTATTTTTTTATTTAATTATATTTCATTTTTCTATAGTTTATTTTATTTCATTCCATTTTAATTTATTTTTATGTCATACTGAAACATTTATATGCGAATAAATATTTTATTTTATAAAATAATCCAAAACGAATTGGGTCCAAAATATAAATTGTCCGGGCGTTGCTTGAATTCGTTATTAAAAAACATTTATATGCGAATAAATATTTTATTTTATAAAATAATCCAAAACGAATTGGGTCCAAAATATAAATTGTCCGGGCGTTGCTTGAATTCGTTATTAAAAAAATTCATAGTGATTTATATATTAATTGAGCGCACACTACTCAATTAAATATTCAATAAAACACACACAAACAAAGAATATGCAAGCAGTATTTCCAAAAATTACGTAACGTTACTATCAAGTACTTTGCAGTCAATCAGAAGAAACCACTTGGTTTATTATTTTTTATCAGCAATCGACGGTATATTAGGGTGGAGCAATGTATAAGAAGGTCAATTAAATAACATATGAAAGAGTGCATACTAGAAAATTTTTTTTAGCTTCAGTGAAGTGAATTCACTAAAAATTTTATATGTATGACTTAACAGCAATTTTATAGAAGCCGCAAAATCTTTCAAGTACCACCCTAATAATCCAAACGCATACAAATATTTATTCATATATTAAATGTACTTAAGTATGCTTTTCTGACTTAACTGACTTTTTTTTGCATGATAAGTCCATATAAAATCGAAAATATATAGAAATATATGTTCAACTTGATGCACATGTGATTAACAGTGTTGAGTGTTTCGTTTGCTTATCGATAAAATACTTTAGAGCTGATGCACTCGTGCATTCGACAGAAACCCAAACAGGTATACATTTTATTGTTTTATAGCGTGTTTATCGGCCGCGGTAGCCGAATGGTTAGCATTGCGTCCTGCCATTCGGAATGTTCAGGTTCAAATCCTGGCAAGACCAACATCCAAAAGTCATAGAAAATTAATTTAAATGAAAAATTAATTAACTGCGGCTGCCCCTTTTAGTGTATTTCTGTCATGAAATAAATCTCCCCATAAAAAAACCATCAGCCGTTTGGAGGCGGCTTAGTATAAACTGTAGGTCCCTCCATTTGTTGGGAAAACATCACAAAGGAAAACCACAAATTGGAGGAGAAGCCCGACCGAAAATCGCTTCAACGGTTACAAAAGGTTAATTATATATAAATATATATGTATATGCTATTGAAATGTTCTAAATACTGAACATATTGCATATTTATCCATAAATTGTCTTAAAAAAATACATAACATTCTATAAGAAAGTTTCCCAACTCCTCTGGCTGGGTACTCAAATTATTGAGATGGTAAGCTTACTAGAAACACACACAGAGGAACCTCTCCAGCTGTTTGGTATCAAAATGATTTCGAAATCGTAGATAATTCTGTCTCTCTAAGACTCATCTACAGAGAAATCAAAGGCAGAATCCAGTAAGAAGAAGAGTTTACCTACTTGTGAGTTTAGAGTCTGCCCACAATTTTCGACGACACGTGAGTTTATCTTTACCGACGTTAAGACCACTGAAGCTAACTTCTTATTCGTGTATATTTGTAGCTGCCTGCTGCATCCTCTCGAAGTTTTTCACTAGAACTATGCGCTGCTTTTCTTTGCCTAATACTTCCGCTTTTTAGGAGCCATATGAGTTTGGTAGCGGCAAAGAGATGAAGATGTTTAGATCTTGAGAGTATACCCCCGCCTCTAGCCATAGGGTCTTTTTGATACGTCCCCGACACGTCTTTTGAGATTGAGTCCCCCTTCCATATAATACCTATATATTATAAATGCATATATATAAGATTTCCTTACTCTGATTTACTCAAACTTGGTATTCAAATACTAACCACTAAACCAGTGCTCCCTAAGTCTAATCACGTTTGTAACCCGACCAATTTGAAACCACAATTTTTGCTAAGTTTCCCCTTACCTTTTTAAACGTTTTTTTTTTCAATATTCGTCAGTCAGTTCTTTTTGATGTCTATTTCAATCTAGAGCTATTTCGCTGTAGCAGACAAAGGAATTGTTTTACCACTGAGTGCAGCAAGAAGAAACTGCAGTATTTTTACTTAATTTGGGAATAACATTAACTCTATTTTACTAGGTTTAACACCCAGATTATGGAAAGAAACAGGCATGATACCATCAATACGAAATAAACTGTATACGCAACTATTTTTACTCCTCCATCATTGAGTTCTTTTAGAATTTCGTTCAGCACCACCACCAATAGAAACAGGAAATCTTTCCTTGCCGAATCCCTCTGCTGAAGTATTTTGTTCGCGTCACTGAACTGCTAGATGTTAAAATCACTCTGTTCATTAGTATCGATTGCATCTACAAACCGTGTCGCCTCTGCCGATATGTGATGGAGATTCAATGATTGTGCCTAATTCTATTTTACTAAAGGCTTGCTCTATGTCTAGAAAGGCCGATATTGTGGGGCAGTTTACTTGTATGTTGACCAGACCTTCACGTATGCATGTAGAGTTGTTGGGAGTGATCTTATGTGACTAAAGTCTCTATGTGTCTGAAGTCCCTGGTGCTAATGTGAACTATTATAGGCGGTTTTGGTAAGAAAGGCATCTTTAATTTTTTTTTAAATTCTAGTTATATGTATAAGATAGTTGAATATTAGTCTAATAGAACCTTTACAGCCATTGAACTTTTGACCTCTTTAGCCTCTGTAGGATTATGGAGTTAACCCCATTCGCTTTAAATTGCGCGAAGCTGTTAATTGCAGAAATGATTTTGTTCTTATTCAGGTGCAGACTAGATGGATCTATTAAATTCTGCAGTGGTGATGGTTTACGAGTATATGTCCAGCTATGGCTTGTATTTGGAAATGTACTTTAATGTGTACAGCAAGGATTTCGCCACCTTACTCCTTTCTTCTATATATAATATATGTATGACGGATTTGAGTGTTCTTAGGGCATGAACCTACAATATCTGACAGATCTAGATAAGATCAGATCTATCGATAAGAAATCCTTTATGCTTCTGCTTTTGCTCTCCTAATTGCTTGTTCATGCTCTCTCTCATACAACTGAGATATGAGATTTTGGGTTATAGCTTCTGCTCTTTACAACTTGATGAGTGTTTAGCTTCACAGATATTAACCTTTTTTGGTATTCACAAATGTAGGCCCTACTCAATTTAAATTTATTCTTCTAAAGGTTATGCACTTCAGTTTTTTGGCTTAGAAATTAAAGTTGAAAAAATGAGTAAAGACATTTTTCGATTTTTTGCAAACAAGAAAAAAATTAAAAGAAATATTTGCTACTTTAAACAGCGATACGAATTCAAAACACGTTTCAAACTTGGCTGCAGGATGAGTAATGCGCAAGTAACGTGCTATTCAACACATAATAAAGTGGCTCACCCCGATATTTCACTACAAAAGAAAAAAAAGATTTATTAAAATACATGAATACATATGTCCATAAAACTCGCAGATGTGAATAGCCAACCTCAGTATTATACCACATACATATGTACATATATTTATACAAAGTAATGTATCAATGTGAGTCAGCTCTCAGCGAAACAAAAACAAATTAAGAAAGCACTAATTGTTAATTTCAATAATTTTTCCTTTTTTGTGTCTTTCTTAACAACATAAACAAATGCAAATTGTTTTTGTTGATTGAACTCACTTTTTTAAACAAATTCAAATAATAAACTTTTTTAGGTTCAATGCTGTAACTGCACAATTGATTTATTTATTCACAAACTTAGCCAAAATTCAAAAAACGAAAGAATGCCGGCAACGATTGCTTCTCTTGCACATTTTCCTTCTTCACCACACCAGCCACCGTAGCGGATTTCGGCAGCTCAGATGGGGTTATTTGTGTCTGCTTCGCAGATTTCGCTAAATCCAGATTAAGACTACGAAAGCGTGCGAATGGAAAGCTAACTATTGTGCCATTAGGATAGATGAAGAAAGGATAGCCGCCAAAACCGGGATAAGCGCCAAAGCCGGGATAGCCGCCGTAGCCATAACCCGGATAACCGCCATAGCCAGGATAGCCGCCGTAGCCATAACCAGGATAACCGCCATAACCAGGGTAACCACCATAACCGGGATTGCCACCATAACCAGGATAACCAGCGTTACCATAATCTCCACCATAACCATAATCACCATAACCAGGTTGGTGGTAGTGTGGCGGTCTTGTGGTATAAGGATACTGTGTAGGCATAACTACTTGCAGATAGGGCTTACCACCACCGCCATGATGAAGTTTAGGCATGGCAATTAAGTTTTCGCGCTCCACTGGTTTACTGGCAACATTTTCACAACTTTTGGCCTGAAACTCTGCGCGTTCGTTGGCTTTAACGTTGAGATTCTTGTCTAGCGCAGCATCCACGCTTACGGTGTCGTTGTCTGCAGCAGTTTCGGCGTATGATTGTAGAGTGGAGTCTACTTTTTCTATATCATTTGGCGAATTTACATTATTTTCTAATTGTTTCTGCTCATTTTCCATTGTTTTACCCAAATCTTTTTTAACAATTTCACGTCCTTCTTCAACGTTCACTGCGGCAGTCACACGCAGCTGTGCCTCTGCTTGCTTTACGGTATTAGTACCTTTTGTAGGCACGAGAGTGGCTGAAATAAGTGTGAAAATAAATATTAAATATGAAAAATAAAAACTAATTTCGGAGTGAAAGAAACTTACCCAGAAATAGGCACGTTATTAGGCTCCTCCAATGCATCTTGTCTAGAATATACTAAAAATTTCACTGCATTTCTCTAGCTTTTATACAGAATATTTTGAATCGAATATGAGCTTTTTTCGTTTAAAATCATGTAAATTTCACTAATATTTAACAGTAATCATAAAACCAATTTTCCCATAAATTTTTTTAATTTTTTATTTTATATATATATTTTTTTTAATTAAGCAGCAAGTGGGTCAGTCACTCTTAACAGAAAACTCAGAACTTATTTATGTCACAAAATGCTGCATCTTCCTAATAATTATACTTTTACGCATAGCTTTATTAACATATAAATTGGTTTTGATAAGGTGAGCTGCCATAATCCAGTGTTTTCTACGCTCGCTCTCAATTTAACGCCTAGAAGAAGTTTTTCGAATTCTTTGGAAGAGCTTTTATTTTATTGAAGAAAAAATAAATTAATATATCTAGACAATAAAGCTGCTATAAAAATTAATGTATTGCGTCTAAATTATACTAACATTGATTAAAAAAAAAATACTATAACAAAGAAAAAACACTAATTAGGAAGAAAAGTCGTAGAAATCTTGGTTCTGCTTTCTTCTTGTCACTAAAACGAACATCAAATGAAGTTAAAGAGTAAAATTTTGTTATCATTTTAAATTTCAAAATTTATGTGAAAACCTACATTATATATTTTTTATATAATATTTATTTATTTTATTACCAAATTGGGTCAGTTAAAAATAACAAAGAAAAAACTCCAAGCATTTTTTAATTAATTCAAAACTAATTGCAAGTTTTTCTCTTCCCTTTGTAGGCAATTGCGGGCATACATAAAAATTTAAAGGTAAACAATAATTGATTAGTAATTATAAACACATATACATACATATATGTATATACATACAAATGTCAATATATATTTAAATATTAAATATAGAAGCATGCAAAATATTTTATTCTCATATCTAAAACACCAACTTAGGCTTAGCAGTCATAAATCATTCATTAAAAACAATATTAATTGATCATAAGAATAGACGAAAACTTACATTGAACGATAACCGCAGTATAAAAGGTAGTTCAGATGATGGTTTGTAAATAAATAGAATTTAAATTTTAAATTTCTAAATAACCGATGTAAAAATAACAATACAAAGTAATAATATACAAATTAAAACTGTATGAAAAAAAATCCCACACCCATTATTGAAAATAAACAAAAATAATGTTTCAAATATACATTATAAATAAATATTCATAAAGTAAGAAATTCGCTACTAACATTGTCCGTATTCACTGTTTACATTTTATGTAAAGTACATGTTAACCGCTAACATTTTTCTGTTAGTTCACATAAACAAACGAATGTGTCCGCTCAATGAGCAGCCTAAATGTAGGCAATTAAATGGTGTGTTAACATAATGATCGCTGGCATATAACATTTAATTTTTGTTTATTTAATGGTGTGTGTGTGTATCTGCAATGCATATACATTGAAAATGTGGTACACATACACATGTAATTTCATTTTTATCAGCTGCTTGATATGATCGATTAAATACAATACAATTGATTAAATATAATAAACTTAATCATCGAACATTGTATGCCATTTGTAGATATAAATATAAATATTAACTCGTCTCAAGTGGTTTAAATGTTATAAAATACAAATTATTTTACAATGTGTTTATTAGAGCAGACTGCATATTTAATTCAGTTAATTATAGATATTTATTCAATTTGCAAATATTTAACTACAATAGCTATAGTTGCTACTTATAGAGTGGCTGAAGAAGCACTAAGTTTAAAAATTTCGTTATACAAAAACTTAATTATAATATTCACAATTAAGGACGGTAGTAGGTTTAAAGTATATTCAGCTTTTCATTATTTGGCTTCAGGTATTTTCATATATTCTTGAATCATGACCTATGGTTCTTGTGAATGTATATTTCTACTGCTACATCTATAGACGAAGTAAGGTTTGCTTGCTTGATGTTGTTGTTTTAGCCGTAACAAACATTCCACCAAAGTAGCTTTTGGGAATGTAGTAGTTTTTTGAGATTGTTACAGTAGTGACAGTCCTTGGCCGGATTATTTACTTTGACTTAGTGTTTCGCCAACTTCGTACTTTTTGTACAATTCCACATATTTCTTAAGGAATTTTCCAGGTACTTACAAATTTCTAACAAATTTTTATTACCTCAATAGCTCTTAAAGTACGATTAACCTGAATCTTTACTGTGTAGATTGATTTGAAAGTCTGTTCTACTTTAAAGCCAAATCTGAATTAAATTTATATTCATTTAAATCAACTTTCGTGGATATTAAAGTTTTACGAATCTCCTCCTCAAACAGTAAATGCAAAAAAAAAATCAAAAAAGTATTAAAACTAAAACAAAATTTTCGAGACGTAATTTTTGTTTATTTTTCAATTAGGTTAACATTCTTTTGGCTAGCTGCCACGCCTTACATAGACCGGCTGTTCTTTTGTGGTGCCAGAAAGAGTTTCAGCTTTATTCGAGCTAAAGTAGTCGCCTTGTAGATTGCCATTGTGAAGTTTAAAATAGCCTCGAAACCTAGCAACTCAAGTATAAATTGAGATATATTGTAGAAACTTGGCGCACACATTTCTTAAGTCACAAGTTCGGACGCTATTGCAAATGGAAATAGAAGCAAGTGCACCACCAAAAATAGGTTATGTTGAAATTGAGAAGTGTATATTTCATTGACATATTTCTTAGAGCCGCTTGCATTCAATGGAAAAATATGAGGGATGAAAAAAAATGTCGGGTGAACATGGCACCACCCAGACTGTACAATAAGTATATCTCAGAAGCCGATGGATAGCCTTCAGATCTAAGTACGCTGTTCGCTCCGATCAACAGCAATATCAACTCAAATCAACTCTGTCGTTCTCATGGTAAGAAAAAGAATTGATTGCTGGGCGCAATCGTGTAACAACTAGGCTTTTGTCACACATATTGGATTTTTACTTTCCATCCCACTTCACTCAAAGTAGAATATTTGAGACATTAAAAAACCGAACTCAACCAAATTTAATAGCCGAGCTAAACTCCCAAGATAAACTCCCTAAAATAGATCCTAGAAGTGACCTTTGTCATTTATGGCCGAATTTAGATGTTACAGATGGTCAGTATCAGTTGAGTACCTAATGTTCAGTTCCACTACTAACTTACTTATTTTTTAATTATAATCATAATAAAATCCTTTTTTCCGATAACCTATATTCGAACGACAATAAACTCAAAAAGAACAGTATGAAACTGAAGTTACCAATCGAATGTGAACAAATTTTCTTGCGAATCGAACTACTTAGTAGGTCTACTGATTCTAATGCGACCTGTCTGCTGTACGTTTTTTATTGACTACAATTACGATAGACTTTAATTCCAGCTTTACTTTGGGTCTTGCCGAAATTTCGAATTTGAATATTCGATGCTTCGAAATTGAACTCACCGTTGGCGACTTTATATGGCTATATGTTTGGCAAACAATCACCGAGCTCTTCTCTTCCTGGTTTGAGCTCGTTTTCGTTAGAATATTCCATTTTCAATAGCAGAGTTGTATGCATGATTTTAACAGGAACCGCAAAAGTAGTGAATCTCATCCGAAATTGAACATTTTATTTTATGCCTTTAGTAATGCACTTTCTTCACCTCCGCTATAATGAACTGACGTCACGTAAAACTGTCTGTAAATATATGCTTTTACTGCTTCGTAATTGAAACATTTTGTGATTGCGCTTTGTCTTATATTTAAATATTACTCATTTATTTTGTAAATGAGTAAATAAATAATTATTGATTCATGACAACTGTTCCAGTTTCAGTTTATTGAATAATATATATATGTGTGTATATACCTATAGTGATTGCATTTAATCTTTCAATACAAAAAAACTGTCAGAACTCAAATGAATGCTTAAAGTCAACATGAATCACATGCAGTGCGCTCCTGTCTTTATGATTAATGAAGAGAGTACTGCTTAAGATTTCAATAATTTTACCGCTCAATTTAACTACTTGGAAGTCTTATCGCAAAGGCATCCTCTTTTTGATTATTGTAAGTCCGATGGAAATCCCCTTTTACGTTTTGTTAACCCTCTAACGTCCAAAATTATAATTATTTTTTTTTTTCAATTAAAAAATTTTATTTATTTATTTGAACGCTGAAAACGGTATCCTATTTGCAAAAAAAGGTTCCGATTGCACTTTCAAGATAAAATTTTTGTGTTCGGAGGACAACATATTCCTATACTCTAACACAGCAAACTTCATAAGGTACATTCTCGTAAGTCCGACTTTGATCGTCAAGTCAGTATATAATCCAAACGATTTTTAAAACCAGACAGATTTCGACCAGACAAAATACATATAACTTAAAATGTGGTCAAGAAACAATCCCAACAACTCTTTACCCCAAAAAAATAAAATATCAGGTGTACAACTTTGCTTCCGCCGTTTTCCGATAGGTGGCTGCACCGGCTGAGGGTGGTTGAAATACATAGATGATAATGTCTTTAAAGTGAGTGTGGACAGTGCCTAACGAATTGTCATCGCCGTTTCAGTGACAGTTGTTCTTGTTTTCGTATTATTTACGCTCGAAAATGTTAAGTAGATCAAATTTTTCTTAAAACTTACTAAAAAAAACTCGGCACGTTTCAAATATGAAACTTCAAAATGCAGAAACTTTCATGCGAAAACTCTTATTTTCGCCGCCAGAAAAATTTTTTATATAAAAACTCATTCGAATGTAATGTTAACGCATTTACTTAACATTCCTAGGTATTTTTAAAGCATAACTTTTGAGTGAAAGACAATGAAGATCAGTTGTGAACGACTTCCTTTGGTAGGCTTTATGGAAAAAACAATAATTTTTCACCGGCGAATAACAAATTCAATCAAAATCGGCTCTTAGTTTCGGAGCTCATCGCCCAACGGCGTGAAATTACGTTGTCCCATGCAAATTTCACCCTGATTTGCACCCTATTAGGGGTATAATTTCGGATAATACTTTTTTCTCGGAAGCTTACCTCAACAGAACAAAGCGTCCGATAGGCGATTGAAGCATGTGTTGATCTGTCAGTTATTCATTTCGTCAGAATCGGGAAGGGCCTCTCCGCACCGTTCGATACCAAATGAGGCTTCAGGGGCAGCTTTAAGACCGATAATAATGTCATCCTTGAAATCCAACACAGAATCACTCTTGTCAACAAATGATACTTCTGGCTGGATGGGTGACGATGTCAACATCTGTTGAATCGGCCCTAGGAGTCTTTTAGGGGTACCCAAATCGATTTGGAAAACAACACTAACGCAAATTTAGAAATCTTTAATTATTCAAAATTTTATATTTATTTTAATATTTATTTAAGAACACAACATTTTCGCTTTTTTTACTTTCAAAGCACAACAAATTTACCATCAAATGATTCATTTCAAAAATATGCATATGCATAAATATAGCATAATTTGTTATTGTAAATATGCTACATCTCTGCATATAATATTATATCTAAATTATTAATAAAACTATGTACATACAAATATACATACATACTTTGTTGATATAATATTCCTCTATAAAGTATGGTATATTTACTTGACCACCTAAATTATTTGTGCGTACGCAGACATGTATGTATATATGTTTACATACCACCCGATCTAAGTGTTTTCGCATTATATACACCAAATATGAACTTGAATATGTATATAGCTAATGTACAAAAACAAAAAAAAACATCAATGTAAACAATATATTTAGCATGCTGATAACAAAAATTGTGCGAGCATGAGTATGACGCTTGCGTCCGCT